GACTCTACTAAAGGGCAAGACTAAGGCATCCTGAATTGGGGCTAGCAGAGGGTTATTAAGGCTGGAGTGGGAGGATGCCCAGGGTATTGGGGTCAGGATGGCATTAGTCCTACTGAAGCCAGGCTGGGCTGATTCAGCATTCTGCATGCCCCAGCCAACCCCCAACCCCGACGGCTCTTCACTTCCTTGGGCAGAGATGGGAGATGGCGCCGGTGCTGCCCGTGGTGCTGCCCCTCCAACCCCGTATCCGTCTGGCGCAGGGGCTCTGGCTCCTCTCCTGGCTGCTGGCACTGGCCGGTGGCCTCACCCTCCTCTGTAGCGGGCACCTCCTGGCACAGCTGTGGAACCTTGGCACCTTCCTGGCTCCCTCTTGTCCATTCCCTGCCCTGCCCCAGACTGCCCTGGCAGCAGGAGCGGTGGCTCTAGGCACAGGACTAGGGGGCGCAGGAGCCAGCCGGGCGAGTCTGGATGCAGCTCGATACCCTCCTTGGCGAGGGGTCCTGAGTCCACTGCTGGCAGCTGGCACAGCTGCAGGCGGTGGGTTGCTGGCCCTTGCCTTGGGGCTAACCCTGATTTTGCCTGTAAGTCTGCACCAGGGACTGGAGGAAGGTCTGGAGGCTGCCTTGGTTCACTACAAGGACACAGAGGTGCCTGGCTACTGTCAGGCCAAACGACTGATGGATGAGTTGCAGTTAAGGTACCACTGTTGCGGACGTCATGGCTACAAGGATTGGTTTGGTGTCCAATGGGTCAGCAACCGTTACCTGGACCCCAGTGACCAAGATGTGGTTGAGTGAGTGATCGATTTGTTTCTCTTTTCCTTCTCCTCCCTAGACTCCCCTTATCTTGAAATTCTCACCCAGACATGCAATAGAGCATATGGTTGAGAGAATCGATTACTCTTCTATTTATCAGCTGTGCCGTCCAGGGCATGTCGCCAAACCACTCTAGGCCCATTCTTCACCTGTAAAACGGAGATAGCTATACCTGTCTTTATCTCCCAGATAGGCTCCTATCTTACAAAGTTGTGGAGATAAATTAATTAAGCATGCTTGGATAGTAAAGCACTCAGCATGATGTTTTACAGTATTTTTTTCAACTGTCCCTGCCCTCAGCTGCCCCTTTAGGCCTCTGTCTGCAGCCATCTAACAATATTACTCTACCCTTGCAGCCGGATCCAGAGCAATGTGGAAGGGTTATACCTAATTGATGGAGTCCCCTTCTCCTGTTGCAACCCTCACTCACCCCGGCCTTGCCTGCAAAGCCGACTCTCAGATCCCTATGCCCATCTGCTCTTCGATCCTCGACAGCCCAACCTAAACCTCTGGGCCCAAGGGTGCCATGAGGTGCTGCTGGGGCACCTGCAGGGTTTGTCGGGCACACTGGGAAGCATGCTGGCTGTCACCTTCTTGCTGCAGGTCAGTCAGCCAAGGGCCCCACCTCCTTCCACTTCCAGCCCTGTGGTCACAAATGCACTAACCATCACTCTTTCTATCTGCTTCCCCACAGGCTCTAGTGCTCCTTGGTTTGCGGTACTTGCAGACAGCGCTGGAGGGGCTTGGAGGAGTCATTGATGGGGAAGGAGAGACCCAGGGCTATCTTTTTCCTGGTGGGCTGCGAGATATACTGAAAACTGCATGGCTACAGGGAGGGACTGCCCACAAGCCAGCACCTGAAGAGGCCCTACCAGAAGAGGAACCTCCCAAGGAGGTTCTACCTGAGGCCTAGTAACCTAAAGTGTGGGGGGCGGGGGAAGTGGACAAATATGGAAAACTTTACTCAGGCTCGGGGGAGGAGAGGTTACAGGAGTTAGAGCAGTCAGAGATAGACTAGAACGAGGAGGAGTCCAGGTATCCTGGAGCCCAGCCTCTGCAGCCAAACCCACCAAGATTGAGAATAGATCAGGGTGGCCGGAAAGTGACACCCAAAGGACTGGAGACTCTTTCTAGTGTACAGATTCTCAAATAAAGTTTTTGGATGGAAGCCACTGCTCTCTCTTGTCTAGGGGATGGGGCCTGAAGGACTGATGTCTGTGCAGAGGAGGAACCAGCCTGTGTAGGAACAGGTTGCCTATATCTCTTGGGTGTAGAGACCAGCAAGGAGGTTTGCCAAGTGAAGGGAAACACGAAGCCCTCCAGGTTGAGATTCTTTATTCTAGAGGTAGGAAGAGGATCCGCATGCTCAGGTGGGGAGGGTCCAGCCCAGCTCCTCTAGCCCCCCAGTGCATGCTTGTCCCCAATAAGTTACCCAGTTCCCTCAGCCACCCTCCCTCCTGAGTCCATCTGTCCTGCTCCACCCCAGATGGGGCTGACCTGGCTCAATACAACAACTGCTTGTCCCCAGCCTGTGGGCAGTGCCACATGGCAGGCTGGGGGAAGGGAGGGAAGCAGCTGGGCCACACCCTGTGGTTGGAGGGGCTGCCTCTGGTTCTGAGGGGTCAGGTCTTTTTAAAAAACCACATCCTGGACTGGCCTGGAGCCCAGTCCCACAAGGTATGTGCCTAAAATAAGGTAGAAGTCAGGGTGAGGCTGCCATCACACCTCAATGGCTGGGTCTGAGCCCTGGCCCTGCCGCTGCAGCTGCTCCTCCTGCTTCATCTTAGGTTTCTCTGTCCGTGTGTGCCACACTAGTACCTGTGAAGGAAGGGTTAGGGTCAGAGCCAGCCATGCCCAGGTCCCTGGGGTATGTGATCTAGAATGGATGCCACCAGCCCCCTTCTATATTCAGAGTTGGTATATCATGTGTGAAGTATGGGGTGGGGGAACTTCACTGCCTCTCAAATGGGGCTCTGTTCCTTGACCCTCTGATACACACAGGGCTTCACAGAAGTCTGTAAGATGAAGTGGCAGGAGCCCTGTCCGTCCTGACTCTCAGTAGTCTTTTCAACAGAAAAAAATCAAAGCTGACCAGAGATCTGGGGCGATTCTCCTGGTTCAAACACCCATTCTCACTCCTCCTATTAACGGCTCATCCCAGAGCTGGTTTCTCCATCCTCTTACCTGAGTACAGTTGGCAGCCCGTGGCTCTAGGTCCTTGGGATCCACAAGATGGCTCAGGAGACTACTCTCCAAGTGGCCCCGGGGTGCAGTTGCATCAAACTGGGCATTGGGCTTAGCCAACAGCAAGGGCAGGGCAACAGCAAATCCCGCCATGTCCAGGGGAAAGGGCCTGTTGGGTTCCCATGCTGTGTGGAAACCCACAACCCGGCCATCCTGTACCCGAGGACCCTCAAATCGCAGGCCGCCCACCAGCCCCACAGGCCACACTGAGACACCACGAGTCCAACGCATCTAATGGAGATGAGAAAAGAAACAAGAGTGGTGGCCCAAGGGAAAGAACCACTTTGTTCTCTGACGCCTCTCCCCACTGCTCCCCACCTTCACCCAGTACCCTACCCCAATACTGGTGAGCAAGATAAAGAAGGAAGCTGCTGCTACCTGGTCTCTTTCCCCATCTTCATCCAGGGCTCACCTCCTTAAAGAGCTCCCGGCTGTAGGTGTTGTCATCATCAGCAAAATACACCACTCCCTGGGTCCCTGGTGGTGGTGGGTCTTTCTCCCCGCCAACAGCACCCCCTTTGCCTCGGAGCCAGTCCAGGGCCTTGTTGCGCTGTTCTACTCCTCGGGGCCGAACCCATCCTGGCTCGCCTTCCCTAAGCCGCTGAGCCTTGGGGGTTAGGACAGCCAGGTGTGTGAAGAGGAGACCAGAGGCAGCCAGCAGCCCCGAGACCAGCGGGGTAGGGCTCTCAGCGTCCTCCACCAGCAGCCAGTGTAGACGGGGCACCAGGCTCAGGGTCTGGGACAGCCGAACCAGCTCTGCCTTCTGTACCAGCCTGCAGGGGGAGAGATGCAGGAAGGAAGGGACCAGGCAACCTTGGCCCACAGCACTTAGGATAATAGCTGCTCCTGGCCACTGTTAGCATCTCCCTGGATTTTCCTTCACCAGTGCCCAAGCTTTGGATGTGTGCATATGTTATTTAGGACAGAACTCAGGGCTTCAGGTATTCAAAAAAGAATCATGAGACTGCCAAGTTGCCTCCCTCTTGAATGTCAATTTCGTGCAGATGCTGACCTTCCCTGCCTTTCCAGACCAGGTCACCACTCTCTTCAACCTGAGGACTCAGGCTAGGGTAAGAATATAGGACACATGATTTGGAATCAAATAGATCTGGGTTTGAATAATTTTATAGTTTGTCCTGATTTTCAATACAGGGATTCATGTTGTTAGGCTGGTTTCTCTGAGTAGCCCTAGCTGTCTAGCTGTCCTGGAACTCACTCTGTAGACCAGGCTGGCCTCAAACTCAAGAGATCCACCTACCTCTGCTTCCCAAGTGCTGAGATTAAAGGCGTGTGACACACCACCGCCAGGCAAAACATTTCTAAAAGCTGGTAAATTACCTGCCCCTTTCTACAACACCCTGCTGGGGATCACTGTCAGGGCCTAGTGAATGCTAGGATGTCAACTACCACACCTGGAGCTAATCAAAGTGTTAGAACTTTCTAACCAAGAAATTCCAAAGAGGAGTTAATTCATTGTCAGCTCAAATTTCCTTTCCAACTTTATTGTCCTCTTTTAAAGTTTAGCAGTAACTCAGATCTGGTAGAGGGGTAGCAGTGGCTCACACCTTAAACCCAGCACTCCAGCTAGTCTCTGAGTTAAAGGTCAGCCAGGTCTACAGAGCTAATTCCAGGACAGCTAGGGCTGCATCAGAAACCCTGCCTCAGGGAAGATAAAAAAAAAAAAAAAAAAAAAAAAAAAAAAAAAGAAAAAAAAAAAAAAAAAAAAAAAAAAAAAAAAAAAAAAAAGTTTACCAAAAATTCAGTAAGGTAATCCACTTCCTATTATCCCTTTGTCCATTTTTCTAGAAAGGTAATTTTCCCGCCAATCTGAGTAAAGGTAGACCATTCATCATAACATTTTGCAAGCTCTAGTTTAAAGATCACCCCCTAGTTCAATGCCTCCCCAAATTCATAATTAACACATCTTGGTAGATGCAGACCTCGAGTGTACCAGAGCCATACCTGGCATAGGTGGGGGTAATGACATAGATAGTGGGCAGAGCCTCGGGCTCAGGGGGCTGGGCTGGGACAGGGGGTGGTCGACGGAGATCAGCTTGCAACTGGGAAATCCTCAGGTCCTTCTGTCGAAGCTGCTCAGCTGCAGCTCGAAGCGGAGGGAGGCAGTCACATGGCTGGCCTGGTCCCAGGAAGCATCAACAGAGAATGGGAATTGGGGCAGACAACCACAAGATAGTAAGTAGTTCAACAACCCAGAGCCAAAATCTTTCTAACTCCTAGTGAATTCAGGACTTCCCTTTTAACCTTTTCTTTTAACCTTTTTTTAATTTTTTTTTTTTTTTTTTTTTTTTTTGGGGGGGATTTTACAAAAAAACTTTTTTTTTTTTTTTTTTTTTTTTTTTTTTTTTGTAGCAGGGAATTCACTAGCAAGCACTTTTATCTTTATCTTTCTTTTATTGTTGTTTTAAGATAGGGTCTTGCTGCTGGTGGCAGCAAAGGCTGTGGTGGCAAATCCTTTAATCCCAGCACTTCTCTGTGAGTTCAAGGCCAGCCTGGTCTACAGAGTGAGTTCCAGGACAACCAGAACTGTTTCACAGAGAAACCCTGTCTTGAAAAGAAACAACAAAAGATAAGGTCTTGCTATATAGCCCAAGTTGACCTCACACATTAACTCATTAGCCTGTTTTCCAAATGGTGGGTCACCATACTCAACTCTTTTTTTTTTGTTATTGTTGTTTGAGACAAGGTTTGTCTGTGTAGCCTTGGCTATCCTGGAACTCACTGCTGGAGTTAAACGCATAGGCCACCACTGCCTGGTTCAGCTCTGCATTGTTAATTCCATCTGTCACTTTTGTTTTCTTTGCTGAGCCTCCAACCCAGCGCCTCAAACTTGCTGGTGCTGAATTATCCAGCCCTGCTATTATTTTAACTTGTATATTGGGCTGATAATCTGTCAGTCTTTCTACCCTTGATCATGATTTTACCTTCTAGACTAAGAAGGAATAGAAAAGTCTGAACCGCTCACGAACTCACTGAGGCAGTCGGATCTGTGTGAGTTCGGCCAGCCTAGTCTACAGGGTGAGTGCCAGGACAGTCTCGAGGGAAAAAGGGATCGGGACTAAGAAGGGTTACTTGAGCTAAGATGGTTAGAAGTCCTCTCTACGGTGACATCTGGCCTAAAACCTGAAGGATGAGAAATAGATAGTTTTTTGGGGGGTAAGCTCTGCAGGTCAAGAGCTTGAGGGGAGAACGAAGATAGGATTTTCAAAAATCTGTCAGCAAGCGGGTCTGAGCGGCAGAGAGAGGAGGGGTGCCCGACAGC